TAATCTGACCTGTTCATTATGACTACAGCACCTCCTTTATCAGCCCCTTTGATGATAATGTCAGAGTTGTTTCTGAGGCTGTGGATGGCCTACATAAGCACACTTCTCTGTCCTCAGTGGGGTATCTATCCTACTGAGCACTCACGTGTCTAAAAGGTACCTAGTGCTTCATGAATAAGGTTAAGATTTAGTCACAGGTATTTTTGGCAAAAGTCACAGACAGGTCACTGGCAATAAATAAAAATTCACAACCTGTGGCCTGTCCATGACTTTTACCAAAAAGACCCCTGACTAAATCTCTACTTCGGGGGCCCCACTGCTCTGGGGGGGCCCTGCTCCAGTGCTAGGGGTTGACTGCACCTCAGCTGTTGCTCCTGGGGACTGCTGCTCCAGCTGCCTGGGGACCGCTGCTGCTCGGGCAGTCCCCAGGTCACCCCCACGATCGCTGCTCGGGTGATCTCCAAGCCAGCTGGCCCTGGGCTTCCCAAGCAAAGGCCGGTGCGGCTGGCCCCAGGGACCACTGGAGCAGCTGGCCCCAGGTCGCTCCAGCAGTGTCTGATGTGGATGGCCGTAGAGCGCTCGAAGTCAGCAGACGTCACAGAGGTCATGGAAGTTGCGGATTTCGTGACCTCTGTGAAAGAATCGCAGCCTTATTCATGATCGATCAATCAATTAAGGGCCTGATCATGCTCCCATGAGCTGTGCCTGGATGGCACCTCCATTCATGGCTCTTGCCCTCCCAAGTAGAAGGGGCTCAGCTGCCTCCATGACAGTAACCTGTTCCTCTGGTCACTAGAGGGCACTCCACAGTTGAGGGGTGTATACAAGGAGGTGGGGAAATGCATCCTTCCCCTCCCAGCCCAGCAGAGCTCAGGGCACCAAGGTAACATCCCACCCCATGATAGGATTCCCCTTTAAGGGGGATTCCAGGGGAAGCCCTAGTAGTGAGATTTTGTTGGAGCCAAAGGACCAAAGAGCTGCTGCAGAGGCACAAAGACCCCCTGCAGACGTCTCCAAGCTCCCCTGTACCAACATCTTCTGGGATCTGTGGAGATCCTGGGCAGTAAGCAGGATTTGTGGTGCAGCCCCCTAGACTGCTGGGTGGGGAGAGGGGTGAAAACTCCTTGAAGGAACAACTGGGGAGAAATGCAACTGAGATTTCTTCCCTTTGTCCTCTCCTGAGGCCTGAAGCGCTTTGGCACAGGGAGACTGGGTCTCAGACTTCTGTAATGCATCTAGCATCTTTTGGATGCTGGGGCTTGAATCCAGCAAAGCACTTAAACAGGTGCATAACCCTCAGCATGTAAGTAGCCCCATATAAATCAATGCATACTACTCATGTGCTTACTGCAGTGGTCCCCAAACTGTGGGGTGCGCCCCCCTAAGGGGACATGGAGGAATGTTCAGGGGGCATAGCCAGGGCCCAGGCCTGCCCCTCAGGAGGGAGCACCACTCAGCCCCACTCTGCCCCCAGCTCTGCTGCCAAGAGCCTCATTCCTGGTCACAGCCCCAGCTGCAGCTCTGATCCCGGCCCCGACTCTGCTCCTGGCTGCGGCCCCCAGCTCTGGGCCCTGACTGTGGCCCTAGCTGCAATGCTGGCCCAGGTCCCAACCACGGCCCCATTCCCAGCTATGGCTGCGCTCCTGGTTCCTGCTCCTCACTGAAGCTCCCTGGGAGGCACAGACCAGGTAAGTGGGGGGCACAAGTGAAAAAGTTTGGGGACCACTGGCTTAATGTTATGCATATACTGTACTGGCTCAGGGTCTCTCTGCCTCTCCCTCAATACATAATAAAAGTCCTCACACACTCTTACTCCCCCTTGTGAGGTGAGTCAGTATTATCACATTTTACAGATGGGGAAACTGATGCACGGAGACATTTTAGTGACTTGCCCAAGATCACATAGCAAGTCAGTGGCAGAGATGGAACTTGAATCTGCATCTTCTGCTTGCTAGTCCCAGCCTAAAGCCACAAAAGCAGCTGCCACTTGGGGTTAGAAAGGTTAGAAAAATAGCAAAGTAAGGGGAGGTTTACACTTAAAACGCTGCACTGGTGCAGCTGCACCACTGTAGTGCTTGCACGAAGACGCTCCTATGCACAGAGCTCTCAGAAAGCTCTCTTATCGGCATAATTAGAGGCGGTAGCTCTATCAATGGGAGAAGCTCTCCCACCAACGTAGTGCTGTCTACACGGGGGGTTAAGGTCGGTGTAACTACTACACTGCTCAGGGGCGTGCAGCAAAATAGTTATACCAGCATAGGTCTGTATGCAGACCTGGCCTAAGGTTCAGTTTGGGAAAGTGTTTGTATTATGCCCAGGGACAATAACCCCAAACATCATTATCAGCGGGAGGGAGAGCTGAGACCAGGAACAGCTGTGAGATTTGGTGGGGAGAGTGGGCAGCAAATACCACACTGCAAAGGATTGTGTTATAACAAAGGCCAAGGCAGTTTGGTGCTGCACACTCCAAGGTTGAATGCCCTGGAGCAGGGAAGGGAAGGTGGCTCTGGTGCTACCACTCTGGGTTACCACATTCAATTCTAGGCACCCCGTTACAGAGGGAGCTTGATGAACTGGAAAGAGTCCAGAAAAAAAGCAATGAAAATGACAGAGGGCAGGAGAGATTAAAGGAGCAAAATGCCAGCCTGTTAGTAGCTGGCAAATGTCAGAAGGGTGTACGCCCCAAGGCGGGGGAGGGGTTGTTTAGGGTGATCACAGGGATGTACCTAGGTGTAATGAGATGGAAATAACAGTGAGATCATTTGGGCTGAATATAAGGAAACACCTACTGAACAGCAACCTAAACCTAATTTCCCCCTACTGTTACTCACACCTTCTTGTCAACTATCTGAAATGGGCCACTCATTACCACTTCAAAAGTTATTTATCCTGCTGGCAATTGAATTGTCTCGTTAGACTGACCTCACACTTGGTAAGGCAAATCAAGTCTTTTCATGTATTTATGCCTGCTCCTGTATCTTCTACTCCATGCATCTGATGAAGTGGGTTCTAGCCCACGAAAGCTTATGCCCAAATAAATTTGCTAATCTCTAAGGTGCCACAAGGACTCCTTGTTGTTTTTTCTCTTGGGCTGGGAGATCATCTCCTAAGGGGTGAGGGGTAGCTCCATCCCTTGGACGTTCGGCACTAGACTGGACCAAATGCTAGAGAACAGCCAGTATGGATTGACCCGGCCCAGGAGATGGGCAAGGTGAGTTAACAGGGGGCTTCCCTCTCCAGCTTCCGAGATTCCAATCTCACAATTCAGGCAGCGTTTCTCTTCACCCTGGGGAAGCTGCGTGACGGCCTCACAGTTTAACCCTTCCTGGGCAGTGTCTGATTTTCATCGAAAGGGGATGGGTCACATTAGAACGCTGGGCCAGCCTGACAGAGCACCCCGATTGGGCAGTGCGGACAGCCTTTACCAGGCTGGGCACAGGGGACATAGGACAGACAGTATGAAAGGGAGATTCATAGCAGGGCCTGAGAGTGCCTGACTCCTCTCCCCAAGGAGTGCTGAAGTCTGAAGGTTAGGAGGGGACAGGGAGGGACAAAGCCCTAAGGACTTCCAAAGCAGGGACCTGTGCTGAACAGACTGAGGATACCAAACGGGAGCTGCAGCAACCTACTTGCTCTCCAGTAGCCTCTCTGGTGGAGAGGCAGGGAATCAGAGTGAAGAGCATTTAGCTTCCAGATGCTGCAGATCTACCAGCTATTTAAATTGCACTAGAAACTTTTGCTAGATAAATAGATCGACACCCTTTTTGATGGGCTAATTCCTCCCGCTGCCAAGTAGCCATCTATGATCCTCTTGAGACAAAGTGGATTTTCCTGTGAGAGTCTCTGCCAGCCTCACACCTGCCTCCACTTATTATCTGTATTATTTACATAGCATCATCGCTTTCCCTTTAGGTCCCTTTGGGGGGAGAAGTTTCTGGTGGCAGATGCTGCGCTCATTCAGAGGAAATCTAGTTTTCGGAAGCTAAGCAAGCAGCTTCATAAGGGGGGCTGAGTATAACAGCAGGGGTTTCTATAAAACCTGGAGCAGCAGGAGAATGTATTACAAGCCAGGCACTGGTGAGATACCAAAGACACTTTCCTTCCACACTAGCCCTTTGAAACTCCGAACACACAGCTCCTTTCCCACAGGCACTGCCCAAGAGCTGATAGGACCTTGCAAACCTGGATTGAAAAGGGGGTTACATGCATACAAGTAGAAGGTATTGTTATTGGCACAATTAACCAAAATGATTAATTGTCTCTTCTATTCTATTCAGCTTTTTATACATCTTCCAGGAACATCAGCATTTTCCAGTGAAGCCTTGAGTGACATGACTAGCATCTATCATGCATGGTTTGACTATTAGTTCTCTTTAGCCACACCGTCTAATTACGGATCCCCAAACTTTAGCAGAGGGCTGAGTTGAAAGGGAAAGTCCACAGAGCCCTTCTCTCTGTGGCCACCTCAGATTTTCAGACCCGCCTGAAGTGGCTCTGCAATTTCTCTGAAATATTTGGGGTCAAAAATCTTTTGCTAAATCCTAACCAGCCCCCACCCCTCCCAGAAACAACTATCCGTTAATCCTGCCCTGGCTGCTGTCGTCTGATCAAAGCAGGAAAGTAACCTGGATAAGAAAAGTCCAGGGATGTTCCTTACCTGAGTGATGAACAGTGGCTCACCCACTAAGTTGGAGAGAAGGTAGCTGAAGTAAACCTGATCCAGGCATGATGCTGGCTAGGAACAGCCTTTCCCCTGGAATGATTCCAGCCTCTTCCTTTCAGGACGGATTCTTGAGCTGCTTTGCTTGCAAGTCTTAGGTAGTCAGTGACAGCACCAGGTATAGCACTGGGGACCGCTCCTCAGCACAGCCGGAGACAGCACTGGGAATGTGCATCAGCATAGCCAGACAGAGGATGTGCATCAGCACAGCCCTCTAGCTGCAGCAAAACCCTACTTCACATTTGTGTCAAGAGAGCCCAGCGTTCACTCACTCTCTAGCACTCCAACTGCGGTGTGATCAGCAGCAAACATTCCTGAAGGAGAGCTGCACCTTGCCTGATTACTTCCCACAATGTTTGTCCTGCTAATTCAGCTAAGGACTCTGAAAAAAGGCAGCATTTCTTTCTCTTTCTTTTCGCTGCCTTTCCCTCAGCACTGCTACTCCCTCTGCAGCTCCCGCAAACACCCCGGGAAGGAAAGATGTAGGGCTGAACAGCAGAATTTCAAGAAAGAGACAAACTGGGTCCCTCTGTGCCGGTGCTAAGGGTCAAGGAGGCCCAGCGCTGGTACTGGGTCTCACTGGGACAGCCAGGGTGCTCTCTGCTCCAGTGAGACAGGGCTGGCTCAGTCCATCTGGGAATCCTGGAGCCAGAGTTCAGCTGTTTATTTTTGTGGGATGGAAAAGCTGAGCTTCTTAAGGCACAGAGTTTGTATAGAATAAAAACTGAAGGGCCTGATTCAAATCACCCTCATTAGAGTTCCACCAGGGTAAAACCCAGGTGAGTTCAATGGGGTTAATCCTGATCTACACCATCATGAAGTGAGATCGGAGCCAAGCCTCAACAGCCTACCTACTCCCATAAGCCCTATCTACTCTCAACCTGCACTCCAAAGAGTTCATACAGCTCCCCAACCCTCCAACTCCTTCCTCACTTCCCCCAAAACTCCTCTACTCTCCCAAACAGCTCCCCGGGTCTCTCCCAATCCCCCTAAACTGCTTCCCTACTGCTCCCCTCACACTCTCAAACTGCATCCCTGCTATGACCACAACCCATTCAAACCTCCTCAAGCCTCACCCATACTATGCTCCGGCATCCCCGAACAACTTCCATGCTGCACTCTAACCTTTCCCTTGTCATGACCCTAACAGCCCTAGGTCACTGCCCTGCCATACAGCTGTGCCGCTCACAATAGTGTTCCAGTGCCATTACCCAAAGTCTTCTCCTCAAATCCTCACAGTGCTCCCATGCCACATTCCTGGCCCCCCAAAACCACTCCATCCCTGCATGGTTTGGATAGCATGATCCCCTCCTCCCCACAGAAGCCATCTCCCCACTGCTATACCCCAACATGCTCAAGAATATCCAGTTATCACAGGCAGTGCTAACATACATTTAGGGAGAGGCTATTAAACCTCATGTTGGGTGCTTCAGCCAATCTCCAGCGGTTAGAGATCAGGGTGAGAGCTAACATGGGGGGACAGATTTTATCCCACAGGTGCCTACTTCATTGTTCTTACACCTTCCTCTGAAGCATCTGGTACTGGCTGCTGTCAGAGACAGGATACTGGGCCTTGGCTCTGATACAGTCTGGCAATTCCTATGTTCAAAGCATCCCAGTGTCATGCTGCATCCCCACATGCTCACAGTGGTTCTATGCCATCCCCAAAGCCAAACTGCCCTGATCCCACATCTCCAATAGGCCTCTCTGCCCAATGCTATGGCCCTAGCCAGGCTAAAGCTGTGATTTCTCAGCAGGATTTTTGTTTCCTGTAAATGCTCAGAGGAGGGTCTGGCCTAACCTCTACCACCACGTGATTTCTGCTTCCCACGTACTCCACGAGCGGCTGGCAGGTTATTCCAAATGTATAGACATTTCTGATGGCCTGGCTCCCAGGTGCCACCAGAGTTCTGACTGGGAGAATGAGAGAGAATCTTTTCTGCTCACGCTTTGGAGGCTTGTTTCTGGGTACGGCTACCCTGCAATTAGACCACCACGGCTGGGCCATGCCAGCTGCCTTGGGCTCGTGGTGCTGAGGCTAAGGGACTCTATAATTGCGATGTAGACATTCAGGTTCAGGCTGCAGGCCAGGCTCTAGGACACTCAAACCTTGCAGGGTCCTAGAGCTCAGGTTGCAGCCTGAGCCCATATGTCTACACCGCAGTTATACAGTCCCTTAGCCTCGGCCCCACGAGCCCAAGGCAGCTGGCACAGGTCAGCAGCAGGTGTCTCATTGCAGTGTAGACATACCCAGAAACAAATCTCCAACGTGTGAGCAGAAAAGTTTCTACCTTTGTCTCATTCTCCCAGTCAGACATACCCTCTCTTTCTAGCCACAGCAGTGAGATCATTTAACAGGAACAGCGTGGAGGTGAGCCATTGGATTGGGCTGGATAATGAGAGGAACACAGCCCCTGAATTCCCCATCTGTGCTTTCTGCGTCTGACACAAGAGTCCAACTCTGACCGACTGTCAGCTCATTTAAGGCCTGATTGCTCATCTCCTCCATCAGCAATAGAAAGGGTGTGAGCCAGCCTCATGCACATTCATTCCCTCAGCACATGGCTACCTTCCAGGGAATCTTGCCCGGATCCCAGAGTTGCTACTAATAACAAAGTAACACCCCCATATAGAATGGTTCCCCATGGCCAGATCCCACCCAGCACCAGGCAGCGTCGGTAGATGATTCTGAAGAGCAAAGCTCAGATGGGCTCAAAGCAAAACCCTACATACAGACACCCCTGGATTTGTGGGAAATTTGTAATCCAAACCTGGATCCAAATTCAGAATTGGTGGCAGGCCTCCAACCTATAGTTGGCTGAATCAAAATGTAGGGTAACAATAAAACAAGGAGAAGGTGATGGGACTCTCCTTTTGCAGCTCTAGGAGCAATGAGGTTTGGTGGCAAATGCATTAGCTAGGTGAAAATCCTAGATAAGGATCCTGACTACAGGTCACCAGGAGCAGCTAGAATCTATGGGCACAGTTTCAGCTGGCACATGGCCGGAGACAGGGTGCCCACACTCCTGTTGTTTGCCTTGGTTATCAAGCCACTTGCAGCAAGGTTCAGGCAGCATGTGCTGATTAAAGGTAAACAAAGAGGGCCTGTAAGGGACAAAGCCTTGTTATACTAGAACAACCCATTGGTTTATATGCCAAGGCCTCGGGAAGAGCTCTCACAAACCTTTTCCAGTCTAGAGAAGTTTAAAGGACTCTGGGGTTCGACAGTAAATCACCATATAAGTGAGCTCTTACTGTATGTCTCAGCAAAACCCCACTGCCCAAATCACCGGAGAGCCCCAAAGAAAAGGTCGCCAGCCAGATGAAATACCTTGATATACAGCTTGCCAATTCCCTTCAAACCAGTTTGAATTTACATTATGATAAGCTACTGAAATGCATGCCAAAAAGGACTAGAAGGATGGACGGATGGGTAATCAAAGCAGCAATATTACCAAAGTATAATCGTCTCTGCCACAGCAGCCCCATCAAAATCCCCACAAGCTGCTTTAGTCAATTCAATGGAGCCACTCTGCCCTTCATATGGGCCACACACAATCACCGGATTAAAATGCAGGCACTGTAATTACCCAGACAGGGTGGGGGATTAGCCCTCCCGAACTTCTACAAATACTACTTAACAGCAGAGCTGCAGCTCTGTATCCCCTGCTTTGACGACAATAAAATGACATTAGCATTCTGAATCAAAGTCTCTGACCCAGGATGTCTCTTTGCTACAGACATGTGTGTGAGAGGATGCGTAAAAACAGCTTACCACCATGATTATCTGATAACTTTTATGAATGCAGGTCAGGGTGCAGCTTTAAGAGAAAAGGGGAAAAGCACATGGAAACTTGTGGTCCAGCCTCTCACGTGGCTACATGCAGAAGGACTGGATGACCTAATAAAAGTCAGGAGGAAAAAAAAAGGAACCACATACAGTACAGAAACATTTTTCATGCAAGGAACAAAAAAGGAATTCAGAAAGGATTGAAGCAAATAATGTGCAAAGTCTCTTGCTCTGCTGAGCCTCACTGTGGATATTTATATGTCTAATGGGATGAATGAAATGGGCCCATTAGAAAAAAAAAAAAGTAGGAATAAGTGGTCCCCTGATCTCAGTTTGAGTGGCAAGGAGACCTCTGGCAAGGACGCATGCAGTTAGAGGAAATGAATCTCATTACATTATATACCAATGGTTTTCAAACTGCAGGGTCATGACCCAGTACTGGGTCACAGAATATAAGGCACTGGGTCACAGCGGCTCTGGTCAGCACCGAAGACCGGGCCATTAAAAGTCCAGTCAGTGGTGCTGCCCCGCTAAAGCAGGCTAGCCCCTACCTGTTCTGACACCGCGCTGTGCCCCGGAAGTGGCCAGCAGCAGGTCCGGCTCCTGGGTGGGGGGGCCACGGGGCTCTACACGCTGCCCCTGCCCCGAGCATTGGCACTCCCACTGGCGTGCCTCTGGACCTAGGAGCCAGGTCTGCTGTTGGCTGCTTCCAGGGCGCATCGCGGTCCACAGTGCCAGGACAGGCAGGAAGCCTGCCTTAGTACCCCCGCTGCGCCACTGACCGGGAGCTGCCAGAGGTAAGCCCATGCCCCAATCCCCTGCCCCAGCTCTGAGCCCCCTCCAAACCCAGAGCCCCTTCCTGCACCCCAAACCCCTCATCCCCAGCCCCACCCCAGAGCCCTGACCCCCTCCCACACCCCAACTGCCTGCCCCAGCCCTGAGCTCCCCCAAACCCAGAGCCCCCCCCCGCATCCCAAATCCCCCTTCCCCACCTTGCAACCCTCACCCTGGTACTCCAACCATCTGCCCCAGCCCTGAGCCCTGCCCCCCCACACACACTCCAAACCCCTCATCCCCAACTCCATTGGGTTGTGGACATCAACAATTTTCTTCAACTGGGCTGCCAGAAAAAAATAATCTGAAAATCACTGTTATATACCAGATGTCTACAATGTGATAATATGTCATTAGACCACTCAAACAATGCATCTGTTTCAAAATAAACTTACTATGGACAAACTACATGAGTAACAAGTCATGCTTTTGTTCTGGAGTTACTCTGCATTGGAAGGAGATGGTAAATCATATGTCAGACATTAGAAGCACCATTGCCACTACGTCCTGTGCTTTGCATTCTTCATCTAACAACAGACACAGCAACAAATAAATATGCCAGAACAAATTTGTTAACATTGCATTATTGGCAGCCAAAAACCCGATCACTTTAAACGGGAAACCTGAACTCCCAGCAAGCAACAACAAGTGGTTATTTCAGGTCAAGGGTTTAGTGCCCGTAAGAAAAAACATCGTACAGACCTCAAAATAACTAGAAGGTATTTCAGATCAGGACTCTGCTGCAGGATGTCCTCAAGGCAGCCGATTAGGCTAGGAAAGAAAAAAGGATAAAAGGAAAAGGAATGACATCAGACTCAAGAGGATAGGAAATTCTGTTGGGAAAAGCACGAACACCTCAAACTCCAGACTCAGGCAGCTGTATTAAGCTGAGCCCAGACCACATCAGAAAGGGCCTGATAAACCCATTCTAGCTGGCCTGTATTCTATGGCTGCTTTCTGCTGTTCCAAAGTGGGGTAAAGCAGCCAGAATGCACAAGTGAATTCACAAAAAATACATTAAAAAACAAAACAAAAAAACCCCACAAGGGCAGTGACTCCATGAAAGGGGAAAACTTGGAAAACAAAACTAAACCCAAATATGATTTAAAAAAAAATAAGATTGTTCTAATCTGGCTCCACAAACACTAACATGCCTTATCATAATCACATGGTATTTCCATGACATCTCTCCAGGGCAGAGTTGAAATTTCTGCTGAAGGAGAAACTTAAATTATGAAGAATAACTAGGGGAAATGACCATTAAATACAAAAATGTAT